TAGCTAGTAGTTAATTTCTTAGCTATACTAGTGTTAAGTATAATACTATAAAAAGTTACTACTAAATAGTGCTTATTAAGTATAAATATCTTATTAGTTTTTATAGTTTTACTAGGTAGTAGCTCCTTTAGTAAGTTCTTATAAGTAAGTATATAGGTAGTTACTTAGTTATATAACTTAGAGAATATAGTTAAGCTATTAATTAATAGTTATATAAAGAAGGTAGTAAATATAAAGAACACTATATTTATATATTATTATTATTACTAATAAGTTATTTATTACTATTACTTATTTCTTAGAAATAACTTATATTATAACTTTTATAATTAAGAAAAAAGTAGTTAAAGGTAGCTAGTAAAGCTTATATAAAGTAGGTGCTTTTATACTAGTTAAATAAAGATTACTACTCTTCTTTAGTATATTTAGTTAACTAATAACTAGGCTTACTATAGATAAAGTACTTCTTAGTTAATTTATTACTACACTAGTTTTTACTATAGTAGTTACTTTATAAAGAACCTTATGTTTACTATAGATTAGTATAATTATTATAGCTACTATTATACTTATAGTTAACTTAAAATTACTTATCCTCTATAGTAGATTTATTATAAGGTATTATATAGGTAGCTTATAGTAAAGTAAAGTATTTACTACTCTATTATATAGTTATATATAGAGGCTATAGAATATAGCTAGTAGGTTAAAGAGAGCTATAGTACACTTAGGTATACTATAGTAATAGGTAATAAGGTACTTATAATAATCCTTATCCTTAGGAGGCTATTATAAGTAGTTACTTTAACTAGCTTAGTAACCTTTTTAATAAGTAACTTAAGAATCTTAAGCTTATTTTTACTATAGTTTTTATAGGTAATTAAGTTAAATAATATATAGTAAAGCTTAGTAATATAGGCTAAGTATACCTTATTACCTTTAAATTATTCTTTAAGCTTTACTATTAAGTATTAAAATTACCTACCTATTACTAAAAGGTAAAGGTATAATATTCTTATAGTTTACCTTAGAGTATTACTTAAATTACTACTCTATAGTAGTCTTATATTATACTTACCTAGATATAAAGGTTATAGAATAATAGTAATTTTAAGTTAATAGTCTTATACTAGCTACTAGTGTACTTTATAGCCTAGTTATTAAGTATATCTTTATAAGGTTACTTATTTACTTTAGCGTTAGCCTTAATATTACTATTAATATTACTATAGTTAACAAGAGCTCCTATAGTAGTATAGTAGTTATTTATATAGGCTATTAATTTTAGCTATTATATAGGGTTTTAGTGTTAATATAGGCAGTAGTAAGGTAAAGGTTAGGTTATTATAGAAGGTTTAGTAGCTAGTTACTAGTAATAGGCAACTTTAACTATTTTTACTTTATATATAATTATTATATAGCCTTAATATCTTAATAAAGTTAAGGTCTTTAAGGTGTTCTCTAAAGTTATATAATAATCTTTAATAATAGTAATTATCTTATTAGTCTAGTAGGTGCCTTCCTCCTATTAGAGGGTATTAAATATATATTAGGTAATTAATAAGTATTTACTATAGTTAACCTATACTTTATAGTTAACAAGGAAGTTATATAGACTTATTAAGACCTTTAGGTTAATAGTCTTAAAGTTACTAATAAGCTAGTTAGTAAGTCTTCTTGTGTATAGTAAAGTAATTTACTACTAAGGTAGTTATTATACTTAGATTTACTAAAGTAAAATATAATAATAGTATTAAGTGTAAAAGACTATTACTTCTTTATAAGGTTAGTTAGTAACCTTATAATATAATTTTCTCTTATTATGTAAAAGAATATACTATATAAAGGTAAAAGGTATAGTAATATATTATTTATTACTACTATCTTCTCTACTATATTAAGTAGTATATTATATTTACTATAAATCTTTTTCTTATTACCTTATAAGTAAAAGTATAGTAACTTATAAGCCTTACTTACTTATAAGCTTATCTTATTTACTTATCTTAGCTTAGGTCTTCTACTTATAGGTGTAGTATTATTTACTATTATCCTCTATTAGCCTAATAACCTCTTAAACATAGGCGTTTCTTTAGTAGACTAAAAGGTATATATATTTATTAAAGGATTACTACTAGTAGTATAAATAGTTAAGAAAAAATACTCTTATAGGTAAATAACTTAGGGAAAAACAATAGGCTTTATATTAGCTACTTATTAACGCTATTAGTTAGTAAAAGGAGGAAAATAATAGGCTATTAGTTAGTAACTTATTAACACTATTAGTTAGTAAAAGAAGTATATATATAGAAAAAGAAGTTAGTAAGCTAAAAGCTTATAATAAATAGATATAGTAAATAATTACTAGTTAGCTATAGGTATATAAAGTAAAGGGTTTTTTATAGTTAAGAGTACTTCTTTAAAGTAATAAAGCTTATATAATAGATATAAATTAATAAGGTTTCTACTAGTTAAAGGACTAGTTATAGATCTATTAATTAACCTATTATAATAGGTAATTAGTATAATATTATAGTAAAGTATTTATAGAGGCGTTTTTTAGTCTTTACTTACTCTAGGCGTATAAATAATTAACTAGTAATAGTTGCCTCTTCTTATAGTCCTTGCTAATCTATAGTTTAGATAGTAAAGTTAACCTATATAGTTAATAGTAAAGTTAACTACTAATTAGTGTTAGTAACACTAAGGGATAAGTTAATATAGTTAACTATATATATTAGTAGTAATTAATAAATAATAGGGGTAACTATACTTCTCTATTATACATAAAGAAAAAAAGGATAATTATTATAGGTTAGTTAGTTAAATAACTTAATTATTGCCTATAAATTCTTAGAGAATCTATAGCTAAATATCTAAGGATTTGCTGGCGATAAGTCATTAGGGTTAACCTAATAAATCTAATATTTATCTACAATAGTCAACATTGCAATAATAATATATTCTCTAAATACCTTTATTATTTTACTTTAGTAATTTATTATTTATAGTTACTACCTACTAACCTTTTACTATAACGTGGAGAATATAGTAGTAGAGTTCTTATTAAGATAGGATTTTTATAAACAAGAATTTATAATCTTTTATATTAATAATAAATAGACTAGTTAAATAAAGAATATAGCCTACTCTATATTACTATAGAATCCTACCTAAAATAGCTATATAGATATTAATATAGTTACTAGTTATATTAGGCTATTTATAATAAACTATAGTGTCTTGTTATATAAAGAAAAGTAGTTAACCTATTAAGAAACTATATATAAACTAGAGAAGTAGTAGAAATACCTTTTCTATATAGTCTATACAGGTAGTACACTATATCCTATAGTAGTACTACTAGCACTAGCTATATAAAGCTATTCTAGCTTTATAATATACTCCTCTAGCTATAAGATATCTTATAAGTAGCTTTATCTATAGATTTAGAATTATTAAATAAAAGAAAATAAAGTAATTATTATATAATAAAGGTTATTATACCTAAAATATTATAATAAAGTAAATAAAAAAGGTTTAAAAGGGTTCTTTTAAATAGTGTTTTTTATTTTATTAACTACACTTTCTTTATTATTCTTAAAGAAGATATAACTACCTTAGGTTTTTTAATATAAATTTAGAGGCAAAAGGGGCAAATAAGAGATAGGAGATAGGAGATAAGATATAAAGGTAGTATATTATTATAGATATAATAGAAGAGCTTATAGATCTTACTATCTAACTAGACCTAGGGATATATAGGGATTACTTATACTTATCTCTTAGGTATTCTAAGGATTTCTTTAGTATTCTAGGTTATTAAGTAGGTTATTAGGTAGGTTATTAAATAGGTTAAGTTGTAGGGTATTGTTTTACCTGTAGTAAGGTATTATTTTATTTATTTACCTTATGTAACCTAGAACTATATTCTTAATTCCTTAGAGAAGGAGAAGGTCTTACTTAAAAGACCTATTCTTTAGATATAAATATTATTATTATATAGTATATATAGTTGTTTCCTAAGTAGTTATTCTTATATCTAGTGTATACAGTGTATACAGTATTATTAATACTATAATATATATTCTACTTCTTTATTATATTATTATCTTATTTTTATATATATAAGGTCTTTAAACCTTAATATCTAATACCCCCCCTTAAGATATATATAATATATTATATATAGCTTATTTATAAAAACCTTAATAGGAAAAATTAAGATAGCTATTTATTATTAAGTATATATACTTAAATATATACTTTACTAATCTCTTTAAAACCTTTATAAGCAAGAGAAAACAAAAGATAGTAATTTATTTATATATATATATGTTACTTTATTTATATATTATTCTTATTATTATTATTTATATACTTATTTCTTATATTTTATTTTCTTCTTGTTTATTATATTTAGGTATAGTAGCTTTATTTATTATATTTATAGTATTTATTATATTATAAAATAAAACCTTTCCTAGAGGTTTAGTTAAAATATCTACTATATTATCTTTTGTATTTATATAATATAGATATACCTGTTTATTTATTATAGTATCTCTAGTAAAGTGATATTTTATATTTATATACTTAACTTTTTTATAGAATTCTAGATTTTCTGCTAGCTTTTGAGCTGCTTTATTATCTATTAATATTCTAGGTTTATTTAAATTACTAAACCCTAGATTTATTCTTATATAGTTATAGCTATTATATAAGTATATAGCTTCTTTTATAGCCTCTGTTAAAGCTATATATTTAGCTTTACAGGTACTTAAAGCTACTGTTTTTTATTTTATAGAATTCTAGCTAATAAGATTATAATATCTATAAGTATATATATAACTAGAGGTAGATCTTCTATTATTAAGATCTTCTGCCTAGTTAGAATTAGTATAACCTATTATATTAAAATTATTAATATTATTACAGTTATAATATATTCCTAAATTATTATATTTATTTAAATAACCCTATATTCTATTAAGGGCAATAAAATGCTCTTTAGAAGGGTTACTTATATATCTAGAACAAGTTATAACAGGAAGAGTTATATCTATTCTTGTTTTTAGTGCTAAATATATTAAAGCACCTATTTCTTGCTGATATTTTAATACTTCTTCCTTAGTTGCTTGTTCTTTATTTTTATATAACTTTATATTATTATCTATAGGTGTATTATAAGGATATAAATCCCTTTTATTATATTTATTTAATATCTTATCTGTATATTTTGTTTAATATATATATACGCTTTTATTTTTATAATCTATATATATTTTATTTCCTAGAAATATACTAGGTATTCCTATAGGCTTTATTTTTATATATTTAAGTAGTATATTATTAAATAGATTATTTATAAATTCTTTATTATTTCTAACTACTAATATATTATCTACGTGACAAGCTAGTATTATTTTATTATTATTTTTATTATGTATAAATACTGCTTTATTATAAGGGGATATTTTAAAGCCTTCTTTTATAAATATATCTTTTAAATGCTTATACCATAGTCTAGGACTTTGTTTTAAACCATATAAGGCTTTATTTAATTTATATATATATTCTTTATTATTATATAAAGGATTTTTATTATTAAAAACTAGTTTATTACTTCTTTATTATATATATATCTAGTAGGAATTATAGTATATATATCTTTATTAATATTAGTATACACAAAGGCATTAGTTACATCATATTGTTGTATATACTAGTTATTAGCAACAGCTAATATTATTATATATCTATAGCTTTCTGGCCTACAAGTAGTACTAAAGGTTTCTAAATAATTAATACCTAAGTGTTAATTAAAGCCTTGTACTACCTATCTTGCCTTATATATTTTCTCTATTTTATTATTATTATTATCTGTTTTTTCTTTTATTTTATATACCTATCTTCCTTTAATAATATTATTATTATTATTATTTTTTATAATAGTCTATGTATTATTATTTTCTAATTCTTTAATTTCTTTATTTATACCTTCTATCTAGTTATCTTTATTATTATCTTCTAGAAATTATTTAAAAGTAGAAGGTTCAGTTAATATATTAGAAATAGTATATAAGATGCTTTATCTTCAGCTCTATTTAAAGAAGCTAATATATTAATAGAAGGATAATCTTCTATAGTATTAAATAGATTACCTTCTTTATAGTCTATATAATCTTCTTTATTAATCTTAGGTATTTCTATTATTATATTATCTTTAGATATATTATTATTAGTATTACTATTATCTTTATTACTATTAAGGTCTTTATTTATATTATTATTTATTTCTAGACTTTCTTTATTATTATTATTATTAGTTATAAAGTTATTTTCTAGTATAGTAATATCTCTAGACTATATAGGTCTTTTCTGTATTATATCCTATATTTTATAAGCATTATTTCCGTAATTTATTATAACGCCCTTATTAGTTCTTGAATCTAATTTTCTAATATTAGGGTCTTTATTTTTATAGTAGCATATACTTCCCCAGACTCTTATATTAGATATATTAGGTTTTATTTTGTATCTATTTTCATAGGGTGTTTTATAATCTATAAAAGAATATAGGGTTCTATTATATATATATATAGAGGCTAAGAAAGCCTCTCCCTATAAATATTTAGGCAGATTAGAATTATATAGTAAAGTCCTTATTTTATTAACTATATTTCTTATTATTCTTTCTATTATACTATTAGGTTTATGTGTATAAGGAGGTCTTATATTATGTATTATTCCTTCGTTATTATATATTACTTTTATTCTTTTATTATTAAATTCCTTTTCTCCATCTATATTAAATTCTCTTATTCTTTTATTATTAGTATTATTATTTACTAGATTCTTAAAGTTATTAAATATAGTATATATCTCTTTAGAATCTTTAGTTTTCAAAGATATCCCTAAGTAAATCTAGTATATATATCAATAAATATAATAAACTATCTATTCTTATTATATACTATAGGAGTTATAGGTCCACATAAATCAGAAGCTACTGCTTCTAGATATTCTAATATAGGTCTATTATTATTACTTATCTTATTTACTTTATTTATAAATTTCCTTTTAAATAGGCTTTATATATATTATTTATCTTAGGTATATATATATTATTATTATTATTATTACTATTTAATATAGTAGCTTTATTTAAGTAAGGCAATAAAGAGTAAGCTGTATATCTAAGTCTATTATGCTATAGTACAGCTAAATCTTTATCTTTATTAGATTTATTATTATTTATAGTATTATTATTATTAGTACTAGTATTAAGTATATTATTATTATTATAGTTATTATTATAAGGTATATAGAAGTTAAAGTAATATAAACTATTAATCTTTCTTCTTATACTTAGTAGTTTATCTTTTTTATATTATATAGTATAGGATTATTATTATAGAATATAGATGCTATATTTATTTTATCTAACTTATTCTAACTTAGAAGATTTAAGCCTAATTATAGAATATAATAAACATCTTTTATAGTATATATATTGTTATTAATTAGGATATCTATATCTCCTTTATAGTTTATAGTTAGAGATTCTACTTCTCTCTACCTTATATTTTCTTTAATAGTATTTATATTATATAGATGTTTTATATTACTTATAGTATAAATAGTAGCAACAGTATTAAGGCAAAAAGTAATACATTTATTATTCCTAGATATAATCTGTTTTATTTCCCCTAGTTTCTCCTTTATTAAATTACCTAGGGTTATATTATTAGTATTATTATTATTATTTATTAGAATATCAATACTGATGATCATACAACACCCAGTCAGTCAACCATAAATAGTTCATAATTCAAGGTCAAAGGGCACAGACTAGTTATTCAGCCCTCAGTTATATCAAGAGGGGATCATACTTTTAGTTAGCCAGAATAACTCAAGTCATACTTAAGCAGTATATAACTACTTTATACAATAATAGTAAAGTAGACCTATTTAGTTACCTAATAAGAAGTTAATTTACCTCTACGTTTTACTAAGTATATATATATACAAAGCCTATTTAACACTAATTAGTAGTTATATAGTAATTATAGATTAGTAAGAGTAAAGAGTCAAGCTATATTATATAAAGAGTTAGTTTATATAGTGTCTAACTATAGAAAGGCTAAAGAACTACTCCTTGTTATAACCCCTTGTACTAAGACAAGTCATAATTTATACAAAGATCTAGTTTATATAGTGCCTAACTACAGGAGGGCTAAAGAACTACTCTTTAAGATAACTACTTATACTATTTTCCCCTATATATAATAGAACAAGGAAAACTATAACCTTCTTGTATATATATAAAAAGCAAGTAGTATACTACTATAAGTATATTACCTTTATTAACTAGACGTTATATAATTTA